GTACCTATAGGACGTGCTTAGTTGTGTATATAGTACCTATAGGACGTGTTTAGTTGTGTATATAATACCTATAGGACGTGTTTAGTTGTGTATATACTACCTATAGGACGCGTTTAGTTGTGTATATGGTACCTATAGAAAGTGTTTAGTTGTGTATAAAGTACCGATAGGACGTGTTTATTTGTGTATATACTACCTATAGGACGTGTTAAGTTGTGTATATAGTACCTATAGGACGTGTTTAGTTGTGTATATAGTACCTATAGGACGTGTTTAGTTGTGTATATGGTACCTATAGGACGTGTTAAGTTATGTAAATAGTACATATAGGACGTGTTTAGTTGTGTATATAGTACCTATAGGACGTGTTTAGTTGTGTATATAGTACCTATAGGACGTGTTTAGTTGTGTATATAGTACCTATAGGACGTGTTTAGTTGTGTATATAGTACCTATAGGACGTGTTTAGTTGTGTATATAGTACCTATAGGACGTGTTTAGTTGTGTATATAGTACCTATAGGACGTGTTTAGTTGTGTATATAGTACCTATAGGACGTGTTTAGTTGTGTATATAGTACCTATAGGACGTGTTTAGTTGTGTATATAGTACCTATAGGACGTGTTTAGTTGTGTATATAGTACCTATAGGACGTGTTTAGTTGTGTATATAGTACCTATAGGACGTGTTTAGTTGTGTATATAGTACCTATAGGACGTGTTTAGTTGTGTATATAGTACCTATAGGACGTGTTTAGTTGTGTATATAGTACCTATAGGACGTGTTTAGTTGTGTATATAGTACCTATAGGACGTGTTTAGTTGTGTATATAGTACCTATAGGACGTGTTTAGTTGTGTATATAGTACCTATAGGACGTGTTTAGTTGTGTATATAGTACCTATAGGACGTGTTTAGTTGTGTATATAGTACCTATAGGACGTGTTTAGTTGTGTATATAGTACCTATAGGACGTGTTTAGTTGTGTATATAGTACCTATAGGACGTGTTTAGTTGTGTATATAGTACCTATAGGACGTGTTTAGTTGTGTATATAGTACCTATAGGACGTGTTTAGTTGTGTATATAGTACCTATAGGACGTGTTTAGTTGTGTATATAGTACCTATAGGACGTGTTTAGTTGTGTATATAGTACCTATAGGACGTGTTTAGTTGTGTATATAGTACCTATAGGACGTGTTTAGTTGTGTATATAGTACCTATAGGACGTGTTTAGTTGTGTATATAGTACCTATAGGACGTGTTTAGTTGTGTATATAGTACCTATAGGACGTGTTTAGTTGTGTATATAGTACCTATAGGACGTGTTTAGTAGTGTATATAGTACCTATAGGACGTGTTTAGTAGTGTATATAGTACCTATAGGACGTGTTTAGTTGTGTATATAGTACCTATAGGACGTGTTTAGTTGTGTATATAGTACCTATAGGACGTGTTTAGTTGTGTATATAGTACCTATAGGACGTGTTTAGTTGTGTATATAGTACCTATAGGACGTGTTTAGTTGTGTATATAGTACCTATAGGACGTGTTTAGTTGTGTATATAGTACCTATAGGACGTGTTTAGTAGTGTATATAGTACCTATAGGACGTGTTTAGTAGTGTATATAGTACCTATAGGACGTGTTTAGTTGTGTATATAGTACCTATAGGACGTGTTTAGTTGTGTATATAGTACCTATAGGACGTGTTTAGTTGTGTATATAGTACCTATAGGACGTGTTTAGTTGTGTATATAGTACCTATAGGACGTGTTTAGTTGTGTATATAGTACCTATAGGACGTGTTTAGTTGTGTATATAGTACCTATAGGACGTGTTTAGTAGTGTATATAGTACCTATAGGACGTGTTTAGTAGTGTATATAGTACCTATAGGACGTGTTTAGTTGTGTATATAGTACCTATAGGACGTGTTTAGTTGTGTATATAGTACCTATAGGACGTGTTTAGTTGTGTATATAGTACCTATAGGACGTGTTTAGTTGTGTATATAGTACCTATAGGACGTGTTTAGTTGTGTATATAGTACCTATAGGACGTGTTTAGTTGTGTATATAGTACCTATAGGACGTGTTTAGTTGTGTATATAGTACCTATAGGACGTGTTTAGTTGTGTATATAGTACCTATAGGACGTGTTTAGTTGTGTATATAGTACCTATAGGACGTGTTTAGTTGTGTATATAGTACCTATAGGACGTGTTTAGTTGTGTATATAGTACCTATAGGACGTGTTTAGTTGTGTATATAGTACCTATAGGACGTGTTTAGTTGTGTATATAGTACCTATAGGACGTGTTTAGTTGTGTATATAGTACCTATAGGACGTGTTTAGTTGTGTATATAGTACCTATAGGACGTGTTTAGTTGTGTATATAGTACCTATAGGACGTGTTTAGTTGTGTATATAGTACCTATAGGACGTGTTTAGTTGTGTATATAGTACCTATAGGACGTGTTTAGTTGTGTATATAGTACCTATAGGACGTGTTTAGTTGTGTATATAGTACCTATAGGACGTGTTTAGTTGTGTATATAGTACCTATAGGACGTGTTTAGTTGTGTATATAGTACCTATAGGACGTGTTTAGTTGTGTATATAGTACCTATAGGACGTGTTTAGTTGTGTATATAGTACCTATAGGACGTGTTTAGTTGTGTATATAGTACCTATAGGACGTGTTTAGTTGTGTATATAGTACCTATAGGACGTGTTTAGTTGTGTATATAGTACCTATAGGACGTGTTTAGTTGTGTATATAGTACCTATAGGACGTGTTTAGTTGTGTATATAGTACCTATAGGACGTGTTTAGTTGTGTATATAGTACCTATAGGACGTGTTTAGTTGTGTATATAGTACCTATAGGACGTGTTTAGTTGTGTATATAGTACCTATAGGACGTGTTTAGTTGTGTATATAGTACCTATAGGACGTGTTTAGTTGTGTATATAGTACCTATAGGACGTGTTTAGTTGTGTATATAGTACCTATAGGACGTGTTTAGTTGTGTATATAGTACCTATAGGACGTGTTTAGTTGTGTATATAGTACCTATAGGACGTGTTTAGTTGTGTATATAGTACCTATAGGACGTGTTTAGTTGTGTATATAGTACCTATAGGACGTGTTTAGTTGTGTATATAGTACCTATAGGACGTGTTTAGTTGTGTATATAGTACCTATAGGACGTGTTTAGTTGTGTATATAGTACCTATAGGACGTGTTTAGTTGTGTATATAGTACCTATAGGACGTGTTTAGTTGTGTATATAGTACCTATAGGACGTGTTTAGTTGTGTATATAGTACCTATAGGACGTGTTTAGTTGTGTATATAGTACCTATAGGACGTGTTTAGTTGTGTATATAGTACCTATAGGACGTGTTTAGTTGTGTATATAGTACCTATAGGACGTGTTTAGTTGTGTATATAGTACCTATAGGACGTGTTTAGTTGTGTATATAGTACCTATAGGACGTGTTTAGTTGTGTATATAGTACCTATAGGACGTGTTTAGTTGTGTATATAGTACCTATAGGACGTGTTTAGTTGTGTATATAGTACCTATAGGACGTGTTTAGTTGTGTATATAGTACCTATAGGACGTGTTTAGTTGTGTATATAGTACCTATAGGACGTGTTTAGTTGTGTATATAGTACCTATAGGACGTGTTTAGTTGTGTATATAGTACCTATAGGACGTGTTTAGTTGTGTATATAGTACCTATAGGACGTGTTTAGTTGTGTATATAGTACCTATAGGACGTGTTTAGTTGTGTATATAGTACCTATAGGACGTGTTTAGTTGTGTATATAGTACCTATAGGACGTGTTTAGTAGTGTATGTAGTACCTGGACGTTTTTACCGGTTAGTCACTTTATCAACTTTCCGTGAAGTGGATGTATTTGCTACCATGTTGAATGCTTTTGTTATTCCGTACGGCTTTGTTCATTTTTCTCCCTGTTTATGTTCAAATGAAGGTTTCTTTATATCGACCTCGTCTTTCACATTTTGTTTAAGGATCCCTGTCCCACTGCACTGTGTTTTCCATATATACAGTTACCTCCTCTTAACTCCCTTAAGGATCCCTGTCCCACTGCGCTGTTGTTTTCCATATATACAGTAACCTCCCCTTAATTCCCTTAAGGATCCCTGTCCCACTACACTGTTGTTTTCCATATATACAGTAACCTCACCGTAGCTTCATTAAGGATCCCTGTCCCACTACCTTGCTGTTTTCCATATATGCAGTAACAAGGAATCAGAATTAAACTATAAAACAATGCTTATGTGGAAATATTATAGCAAAGTCAGTACTTCAGCATAAAAAGTACTTGCACAAATGTACATGAAAAATGTAAATGTGTATCCGCCTTCATGATAAAACGCAGATAAGACCATGATTAAGATGTTTATATATTTGCTTACATAATTTGTTAAGCATTAAGTACACACAAGTCGAAAGTCTGCTGTGTAAAGACACACTAAATATATGTAGACTACCGATAAACTCGTTAGAAGATGTTGATAAGTATAACAAATACAATGTTCGTTGGTTAGGTACTTATCGTGCAGGTGTAAGCGTGTTGATGTAAGAAATGTGTTTGAACGTGTTATAAACCTGCCATTTAAGCTTAACCCTTTCACCACTGAAGACCATAATGAACTCATCCACATCAATGCATGGTAGAGTCTACTAAAGTTACCTAAGAGTGAAAGGGTTAAACACAACGTTAGAAAATGGCATTTGGCTCCGAAAGTTCGAAGCGGTTACGGTATCTCTAAGTCTTGTCACCAAGATTGAATACGATTTTAAAATATTTTATTCATGTCGTTTTCTTTTTAATTGTTTCCATTTAGATACCAAAGACATATGATTTTCTCCCTGAATAACAGTCTATTTGAAACCCATAATATTTTTAAGTTGTGAATTTTGTACAAATCGCATCCAACAGACAAAACAAAACAAACTCTTGTAATTATTACAAGTGAATACTGTATAGTTTTATTATAACGTAACTCAAAAACTTAACGAAACATTTAACAAGTCATTCAATATAAACAAAAGGCACAAGGGGCTTTAGCGGCCATACGTGATAGACCCAGATAATATTGACGAGAACAACTTAAACGTAGCTTATGATTGAAATGTTAAACTTATATATCTGTACAACGTTTTTCAGCTGATGGAAAGCCAACAATATTAATCATTGTGTAATTAAGGCAACACATACCAATGCGTCAGTTATTGTCGCGAAGAAGAGTTCCACGTCGAGCTGGTTTTTTTTAACTTTCAGTATTCTCCCATTTAAAAAAAAATAAGCATCCAAATACTTCTCCAAGCATGTAGCGTGACTTCCCTTATCAGGTTATTCCTTTCAGTCTTCATTGTTGCCCTTGTGTATTTATTTATATGTATATCATCATTGAAGAGTTGCGTGGTTTGGCGATGAAATCACATCTGAAATATTTCATTATTGTATGTGATATATAAGTGATAAAACAAGTATATTTAAGTTTTTAAATGGGTATGTAAATGGTGCGTAAATAAGTATGTAAATGAGTATGTAAATGATACGTAAATGAGTATGTAAATGATACGTAAATGAGTATGTAAATTAGTATGTTAATGATATGCAAATTAGTATGTAAATGAGTCTAAATGCGTATATAAATGATGTATGTACCCTACAACTCACGATACCTTAGCAAAGATCGCTATATTATATACATTGCTGATGTGAGAACTCGACATTGAGTATATTTCACCTTTCAGATGAGATGGAGGAAACCATTATCATGCTTATTACACTCGCTCTGTATATGTAGTTGGTTATCATATGTAAGTGTTAGGAAATGTCTTTATACATTTATGTATAAGTATGGAACTTTATTCATCGCCGAGGTAACAAGTCTCATACATGTAACATGCTGCCTTGTGAATCTCTTAATCTCGATAATAATGCATATCATATTTGTTTTTAACTTTGATCATTACTCCTTCCGGTACATGCGCATTGGAGTTCTAATTGCGTCACCTGACCTTCGAAGGCTTTTGGTAGTTACATCAAGGACGGTTCCCTCCTTCGGTGGACCGGATATTAGACCAGCCTGCTCTTCAGCAGAGTGTTCGAAACAGCCGAAAATGAATCTACCTGGCCCGTACTTTGTCCTCCCCAACAGGAAATTGGCAAAGATTTGCTCATATCCTTCTAGTGTCAATGGGTACCGTCCAAACTGCAAAACAAATTAAATTTCGGTGAAACCAGTTATAACAGATTGTTTGTAAATTTTCAATAATTGACTAAATTTTCAAAAAAAGGACTAAATTTTAAAAAAAATGGACTAAATTTTCAAAAAATAAAGAATTCTGTTTAGTCGTTTTCTTTAAGACCGAAATGTATCTAAAAATATTACAGATATAATTTGTTCGTAATCCCTCCATCCCCACCCTTCTCTGTCACATCTATAAAAAACGATGTCTTTGCTAACAAGAAATCATAAAGTAAACGTAATAAAAATGGTTACACGGTTTGTGTTTTGAAATGTAAACATAACATGCACGCATATTCAATACAGTGGCAGGTCCAGAGGAGCGTTCTACGTTTCTGGAACACCAATCCCCAAATTTCGTTTTTTAGACATGTATTTTTCCTACCCCTTTTAACCCCGTTAAACACATCGTGGAACTCCGGACTTCCATACTGGTTTGACCACTACAACATACTTTAATCACATAGAACGGCGGCTATTCGACAACTCCTCAAACATTCCTGTAATTTTATCTATAAATTTATAATGAATGTTTTATGGCTCGACGCATACAAAATAAATATTGTAACATAAGATGTGAAATACGCAACTCACGTCCGTCATCTCGTTGTAGGCACGGGTGGCCAGGTCACCAACCTCCTTCTCGGGAATCTTAACAAACGACTCATAGAAGTGTTGTATCTCATTCGCGTTAATTAACCCGTCGTCGTTTGTGTCCATGACCCGGAACAGAGACCTCGGAAGTAGGCGGAGCCAAATTGGGAAATTATGCATTCCCATACATCCGGGTATCATGTGTTCCCATAACGACATCCAATCGTCAATCTCAACCCTATCTGATAAAGAAATAATAGAATTATATTATAGATTTGTGTTGGTACGTGTCGTGGAATTCATATAATACAGTTATTTTTAATGAGAAGCATGAAGTACATTTGTAATGGATGGCTGCATTTTATGGTTTTTTTCTTTAATTTATTGTATTTTTTTGCCCGGAATTACTTTGTCTCTAATCCGCATCTTAGTATTTCTCTTAGAAGAAAAAAATCCTCCCTGCGAATTTGACGATCTTTCCATTTTTTGTGCCAATTATATTTATGAAACAAGTTATTCAATTTATAATAAACACACTAGTTGGACCGTATGTTACCACGCGTGGGTTTGATATGAGAGGAAACCGGAGTACCTTGAGAAAACCCACGTGGTCGGGCAGGTGACAACATAACTCTTCACGTCCGCCGGGGGAATCGAACCCTGGACGCATTGGTGAAAGACGAGAGCGTTATCGAATGCGCCACCCTTTCAGACCCCTACTAAGCGTAAATAATTTGCTAAGCGTTAGCGTAACACTGTAGACTTTTCATTCGGCCATGCGTACTTCAAAAGAAACGATTACACAATTTCCCTGTTTGACCTCGGTGACAGAGTACACATCGCGTTGTATCATAGAAATGATAAACTTAGGCTTGTTTTTAACAAAAGTTCATAACAAATATCACCGGAAATGTCATGAGATATAGGACATACTGTTGTTATCATACTTACATATATGTTAATATTGTCATTTAATGACCCACATATCTGCAGAAAAATTAATCTCATCGTTTGAGCTGAGAACAGCATGTTAGCGGAATCCTAATGGTGTAGGAAGTATGAATATCTGGGAGAGGGCTTAGTAAATTGTAAGAACTTGTGTCCAATCCCTTTGCCTATTCAGTGTATAATTAACTGGCACTGTGGCCCTGATTTCCGAAATAAATTAAATATGACAGACAATGCATGTAGTAACATTGCGTTTCGTGTAAACATTCCCCGACTGATAATTTCGCACAAACCTCCAGATATGCGTGTATCTGCACAAAACGATCGGCTATTAGCGACACATTTCGATATGATGTAACAGATACCGGGCGACCGAGTGACCCTGGGTTTAGTTGTTAATTCCGGTTAAAAACAACTTTCTGTCAAGGTCGGACGGGTGTTTGGCAATTACTAAGTAAACGTTTTATCAAGGTCAGTCGGGTGTTTGACACACTAGACGTTCTGTGCGTCATAGAAGTTTTACGTCATGTAGGCATCGAGTTTTAATGAATAACGACAAGACTTGTTAGCTTTACAATACAACACGTTAATTCTTAGTCTTCGATATATTGATAATTATATATATGTAAAAAAAATCACTGTTATTAATGGACATAATCGACAATGTAACATGACATAAACCTTTGTAGTAACACTGGACAGTATATAACAGGTACGTGTACTCTTAGTGCATCATAATAAATCTGAAGCCTGGTTTACCCGAGTCGATGTGTTTGTGATTTATACAGATTACACCTGATAGCGTGTCGGGTCCTCACACACCTCGACTTGTAGAGCGTGTCGGGTCCTCACACACCTCGACTTGTAGAGCGGGTCGGGTCCTCACACACCTCGACTTGTAGAGCGGGTCGGGTCCTCACACACCTCGACTTGTAGAGCGTGTCGGGGCCTCACACACCTCGACTTGTAGAGCGTGGCGGGTCCTCACACACCTCGACTTGTAGAGCGTGTCGGTTCCTCACACACCTCGACTTGTAGAGCGTGTCGGGTCCTCCCACACCTCGACTTGTAGAGCGTGTCGGGTCCTCCCACACCTCGACTTGTAGAGCGTGTCGGGTCCTCACACACCTCGACTTGTACAGCTAACATTATTAACAGGCGGATGCAGAACTAAACACATCCATTCACAGAGGATTCTGATATAAGATATAAGTTTCAGGTTTCCGGATGTTCTATTTATAAGCACAAAGGCATTGTCGCGATAAACAAAGTTTAGTGACAGATAAAATAACATTGACGTCATGTCGGATCAGGGTCAAACGGGCGCTTTTGTTGTGTAAGCATCCTCTCTTGAAAACACCAGTATACATTTAATGTAAACCTGCATGAGCAAAATAAACGCGGATAAAGTAGAGAGGGCAGCCATCGTCTGTACACCTTCATAGGAATATACAACTACATAGGTAACTACATAAGTCACGTGCACATACCTTTTTGGACGTCAGTCTTTTCGTACAACACCTCGAAGAAAGTCTCGTGGACCTCGTAAAGTTCTGTCGCCGCTGGGGAGTTTTCCGCCCATCCCGTGTACTCAAGGATTTTCTGTCGTCAACAGAAACAAGTTTTCTTTGCATATTGATTTGCGATACTTAATCGTCATGGTTTCTTGTGTAAGAAACGTGAGCCGTGTCGATCGTTATACTATACAGTGAACGTCATATTTTTCTGTGTACTTATATACGTCATGCTTCTCAGAGTACACTACTTTTACAGATGTAACCAGGTCCCAGGAGGTTTTGGCACAATGCCAGTACAATTTCGTTATACAAAATACAAGATACAATAATTTTTATTTAGAGTCGTGTTTGTAACAATGCAACTTTAGCTCAGAAGAGCTATTCTTACGACTATAAGACTTCAGTTCTGAGTATGTAAATATTGAACTTCGTTATAACTACAGAATATTACAATGTAAGTTCGTTGTGGAGTTTAGATTATACACAGTGACGTAGCCTTGTTGGCAGATTTCATTTTTTAGAAACAGAAACTTATTTCATACTAAATTGAAATTGTCATTTTTATCTGAAGATCGCTTAGTTTAAGAGTACGATTATTATCAGAAACCCCGACAAGATGTTAATTTGTCAGCCTTACCTTGAATAAGACGGGGAGGTCTTTTTTCATTAGATGACCATCGCCGTCGGCATCTGTGTTAAAATGGAGACATTTAGTCATAAACATACACACTCCAATAAAACGTTCACACCGAAATCCCCGGTCTGAAATCTTGCAATAACCGTAGTCAAGACTACAGGGACTGGACAGGCGGTTTTGGGATTATTTAAATTAGTTATACTAATTATAAATGCCAAATCATATATTCTTGTATACTAGACTGAGATATCCGCATTTCCGGCGGTGCTGGAAAATTCTATCAAAACCACGGGTCTAGATCGCTTACACGCGCTGGTTGGCGGGGGAATTATCGTGACCTTTCGGGGTCACGCTATTGTTCGTGACGTCATTTTATAACGTGTTGGTCAGTCAGGGTCATTGACGTCATTGTCATCCGTGCTGCATTTGCAAATGAGAAATGCGCGGACAGTTTACAACTTTACTAGAAGAGTAGCTGTTATATTGGTTTTAGGTAATCAGCAAGAAATAGAATCCATCCCTGATGTGAGGTAAGGATAAGATAATTCAAACCCTCGGGATAAAATATTGAGCAAAAGACACTCGGCAAAGCCTCGGGTCTCCTACTCAACATTTTATCCCTTGGGTTTGAATTATATTATCCATACCTAACATCAGGGATGGATTCTATTATACTGTCCATTTTCCACTTTATATATATATTTAAATAGAATAATGTAATCGCATACATAATGCCTATACTCAATTTTATAAAAGTATTCCAATAGAAAAGTGTGATTGACCTGTACAGGATATTCTTGCATACTAGACCGAGATATCCGCATTTCCGGCGGTGCTAAAATAGAATCCAGATGTGAGGTAATGATAAGGTCATTCAAACCCTCGGGTTAAAATATTGAGCCAAAGACCCTCGGCAAAGCCTCGGGTCTCCTGCTCAATACTTTATCCCTTGGGTTTGAATTACCTTATCCATACCTCACATTAGGGATGGATTCTATTAATACTTCCATGTAGATACTGTCAGTATAGAAGTTTTTTTTTCACAAATCCTGTACAATGTGATGTCATATTATTCTACAGGATTATTCTATTGTTATCATTATATAAATGTTGTAATAATATGCCTATGAGCCGCATGGCTAATAAACAACTCAATACAATTTTAGTTAACGATTATCTTTATGCATGTTCACGAGTGAATGGTACACATTTAGAGCGAAATCAGCACTATTTCCTACACGAAGACATGTATTCCGATTGTTTCTTTAGATGTATTTTCCTTCATCACTACAGATGTCTTAATCGACAAACTGTGGCTGATAAACACTTGGTATTACTTACCAAAAAAGTTGAAGTAGTATCTGAGTTTTTCCCGTTGGAATGGTGATAGCACTGCGGCAGGCATATCTGTAAACACAGGAAAAGGTATCGATCACTGTATTTTAGTGCGGCACAGTGGATAGCGCACTAGCCTTTCACCAAAACTGCCGGGGTTCGACTCCGAGATCGGACATAACACGGTATTGGGTTACCTGCCCAACCGGTAGCTTGGTTTTCTCTCCACATTAACAACCATGCACCCCGGGTCAGACTCTCCGTTTGTAAAATGTTGAATCCCAACCTCCCTTCTCATAGGTTTAGAGGAGATATTGTTTAAATAAAGCTCTAATTACCCCCCTTTTGGCCCTCCCCTTAACACCCCTTGCACCATTTTGAATACCCACCACCTAGGAAAGCTTGAAGTTAAATCTGGTTAGCTTTCAACAGGCAGACCAAGAGAAGGAGACGTTTGCAAGAAATTACTGACGTACGGTCCCGGTGAGTTAAAACTTAGGCAGTATATTGTGTTTCTAGACGACTATCACAAACCCTCGTTGGGCTCGTGGGAAAGTACAACACATAATTAGATAAAACAAGGACAAAATCAGACAGAGGCCTCCACAGTGGTTGTGAGGACGACAATACAAGGTCAGTTAGCCATTGGGCATTGACCTTTTGATACTATGTGTGGTGATGCTTTGTCGCGGTCTGACTGTTCCGGACAGTGGTCAGCTGTAATTTGACCCTCTGTCCACTACCAACAACGCTTTTATGATACTTTTAAAGCAAAACATGTTGACATTTTTTTTCCGCTTCGTCGTAGACTGTAGACTATTTATTGTTGATGTTGCCATGCACAATGTGTACAATATTTCTTGGGGAAAGCTTCATAAATTGGGATAACTACAGCCTTATCACATTGCTGAAATACGAAAAAGCGATTTGCAGTTTTCGCTTAACACTCTTTAACAATTGAAACAGGGAGATACAAAAAGCAGGCTGTGCATAGTCGTATAAGTCCTATACATGTATGTACTACTGAAGGAGAAGATGAATTCACCGTTGCTTTTAAATGTAGAGTATACTTTCCTCCGTCAAAAACTGTTAAAACATTATTATCGCTGCCAGCCGTCCATGTACAAACTATTGCGAAACTATGTTATCTAGGGGCTTCGAAATTAGGTCACATCTCTTGCCTTTGAAATGGGTGAATTTATATATAACCTGATATTGACTTTGTATAGTCTCGTTCAACCAGACGCTTGATCTCTGTTCGGCGTAGCTTGTTCAAACAACAAGAGTCTGGTTGAACGAGACTAGACTTTGTATGGCATTGTATTGTGCAAAATACATGAATTGTAATACCAATAAGCTGTATCCATTACATCAACAAATAATTGGAATTGGAACTTGCTGCCGCTTCTGCCCCCCATGACGTAAAATCTATAGTATCATGATAGACTTGTATTAGTCCATAATTTGGACGTGGTATAATCATGGACCACTATAGTTAGCCAACCAACACACTCTAACATTGTCACGTGTTGTAGACTGAAATCAACTTTGAGATGATCATGCAGACCTTTTATGAACTAATATGCTCATAAAAAACATAAACATAGCATGCATACACAGATGAATATATATAGATACATTATTAAATATTATTACAAAACAACAAGGAGCGTACGTAGTATACGATGTTTGGAAAATGAGAGGACGTTATAACAAAACAAGAGGCCCGTAGGGCTTTAACGGTCACCTGAGTTAAAATACAATATCTAAATGTAATTTTGATATGAAAAAGAATGAAATTACATATAACCCTAAATGACATTCTGCCTATGGACTGGCTTTCACAAAATGATGTTTGGGAGTGACCAACATTTATACAGAGCTAGAAGATATCAGTACATTTATAAAATAATACTGCAATGAAGTAAAATGTACCCCCTAAAGAGGGAATGGTTGAACTGCAATCAAACGATATGAGTTCCATCTAAGAATGAACAAATTGCCACCGAAAATCAATACAATATACTCAAAGATGTGAATTACCTATATAAACCATAGTAAAACAATACCCCCTCCCCAAGGGAAGGGGTGGGGAATGGGTTACTAGGGGTAATAAAAACCACAATTAGGATAAAGCATCTCTGGACCAGGCAGGGGGGTTGGTTATTCTAGCAAAGTCCGAGGAAGAAGATTGTTGGAATTTTGCTAGATAGATTCTGAAAAGAAGTAACAACTATTAGTGTTTCAGGTTTTGCAGTAAGTGACCACATTTGTTTACGCCAGTTATCATTCCATGGAAATATAGGTGAAAATCCACATGAAAGTTTCAATAAGTCTTTTGACTGTTGTAATGGCATGCATGCTGTTTATCCATGTTCAGTCTTAATTGTATCCAATATTTGTCGCAAGAATAGCACTACAGTACAAACCAAAGTTTATTGTTTTAAATATGCGAAGTTGAACAAAACTTACTTTAACTTGTATCTTGTGACCCCGCCCCCTGAAAATGTGATTCTTTAAGAACGACGGACGACGCACAACGGACGAAAGTCAATCTCAACAGGTCACCAGGTCACCTAATAAAACAAAATCCAAGCTAACAAATACAATTTGATCAACGGACCTAGACAGACATGGTCGAGACATCCGATGGTCAGTTTCGTGTTTGAAAAACTGACCAGTCCCAGACGGACATAGTCGGTGCGGTCAGTTTTGTGTGCGATATGTTACAATCTACTGATCTAACCTTGAAGGCATATGGTGATTTCTCGTGGTGATTTGACTGACCAGATATATCGTCAGTACACAACACGGACAATGGTCAGCATGGTCAAGCCGTTGACAAATGAAAAATCGAAAGAATGGAGCTGCTGGAATAATTCCAGGCGAATCAACGGTTTTTTTGGCGCTATCCAACATTGGGACGATTCCTTTTCTCACGTAAACAAACCCCTAATATTTATTGACGTCTGTTCGGAACTCCTCACGATTTTATCATTGTTACATGTTTAAAAAAGGGGGCGCTGAAGAGAGAAATCGAAACTTATATAAGATGTACAATAAATCATTACACGGTGGCTGGTAAGGGACAGCCACCAGAATAACGATTGTATGTGATATAATGGTCCTAAGTTGCCATGTAGGCTCGTAGGATCGCAGGTAACTCAGTAAGACATCGCGTGTTACTAGGTTAGACATCGTAGGTAACTAAGTTAAAGCATCACAGGTTAATAGGTTAGACAGCGTAGATTACTAAGTTAAGACATCGTAGATTTCAAAGTTAAGACATCGTACACAACTAAGTTAAGACATGGTTTGTTACTTTGTTAACACACGGTTGAATACTATGCTAAGACATTGTAGATTACTAAGTTAAGACCTCGTACGTAACTAAGTTAAGAAGTTCTTGGTTACTATGTTAAGACTTTGTAGGTAACTATGATAAGACATCGTAGATTACTAAGTTAAGACATCGTACGTAACTAAGTTAATACATTGCAGGTTACTAAATTAGACAACTTAGGTTACGAAATTAGACATGGTTGCTTGGTTACTATGTTAAGACATTATAAGTTACTAGGATACGAAATCGTAGTTTACTAAGTTAAGACATCGTACGCAACTAAGTTAAGACATCGTTGGTAACTAAGTTAAGGCATTGTAGGTAACTCATAAGACATCGCGTGTTACTAAGTTACATCATGGGAAGCTAGGTTAGACATGGTAGTTAACTAAGTTAGACATCGTAGGTAACTAGGTTAGACATCGTAGGTAGCTAAGTTAAGACACTGTAGGCTACTAAGTTAGACAACTTAGGTTACTAAGTTAGAGATGGTTAGTAACCGTTTTAAGACATCGTGGGTAACAAAGTTAGACATCGTAGGTAAATAAGTTAAGACATTGTAAATGACTAAGTTAGACATCGTAGGTAACAAGGTTAAACCTCGTACGTAACTAAGTTAAGACATCCTTGGTTACTATGTTAAGACATTGTCGGTTACTATGATAAGACATCGTAGATAACTAAGTTAAGACATCGTACGTAACTAAGTTAAGACATTGAAGGCTACTAAGTTAACACATCGTAGGTTACTAAGTTAGACATGTTTGGTTGGTAACTAAGATAAGACATTGTAAGTTACTAGGATACGACATCGTAGTTTACTAAGTAAAGACATCGTACGTAACTAAGTTAAGACATCGTGGGTAACAAAGTCAAGGCATCGTAGGTAACTCAGTAAGACATCGCGTGTTACTAAGTTACATCGTAGGTAACTAGGTTAGACATAGTAGGTAACTAAGTTAGACATTGTAGGTTACTAAGTTAGGAAATCGTGGGTAACCAATTTAAGACATCGTAGGTTACTAAGTTAACACACCGCAGGTTGCTAAGTTAAGACATGACAAATAACTACGTTAAGGCATTGTAGGTTACTAAGTTATACCTCGTAGCTTACTAAGTTAACACATTGCAGGTTACTAAGATAAGTCATTGTAAACTAGTAAGTGAGGCATCGTAGCTTACTAAGTTAAGATATCGTGGGTTACTTAGTTTAGACATCGTAGTTGACTAAATTAAGACATCGCAGGTTACTAGGTTAAGACATCGAAGTTAACAAAGTTAAGACATCGCAGGTTACTAAGTTAAGACATCGCAGGTAACTAAATTAAGACATCGCAGGTTGCTAAGTTAGACATCGTAGGTAATTAATTTAGACATCGTAGGTAACTAAGCTAAGACATCGTAGGTTACTAAGTTAAGACATTGAAGGTTACTTAGTTAAGACATCGTAGGTAGTTAAGATAGACATCGTAGGTAACTAAGTTAAAGACATCGTAGGTTACTAAGTTAAGACATAACAGGTAACTAAATTAAGACATCGTAGGTTGCTAAGTTAGACATCGTAGGTGATTAAGTGAACACATCGTAGGTAATTAATTTAGACATCGTAGGTAACCAAGTTAAGACGTCACAAGTTACTAAGTTAAGACATAACAGGTAACTAAATTAAGACATCGTAGGTTGCTAAGTTAGACATCGCAGGTAATTCAGTGAACACATCGTAGTTAAT